ATAAGACTATATATATATATATATATATATATATGATGCCCAGGCATCATATATTGGATAAATCTGAGATTTCTTTTGCAGAGTTTAGAAAAAGCACATTGTAGCATATTCTGTTAGCAAATATCATTTGTCATGTTGCAACTCAGGACTGTCCCTTTCTTTGTTGAATCATCTGTTGCCTATATGTTAAAATACGTTTGTGATCTGTTGTTGTGAGCTTGCTGGATTTTCGTTTTTCTTCTGTTGTGTTACAGCGGGATGCGAAGGGACAGTATCTGTTTGACCTCATCTGCCACCACCTCAACTTGCTCGAGAGGGATTATTTTGGTATCAGATATGTTGATCCAGACAAACAGCGGGTGAGTATGTGTGTGTATTACAGATCACGTTGTTGTCCCGCAGACAAGAGCCCAGTCCTGCTGATGCAGCATCTCCCACGCTGTCACTCATGAACATTTGTCCTGAGGCAGGTGCGTCAGGTTTGCGAGGAGGCAACCTGGGAGAAAGATGGAGAGACAATCTGATTACAAAGAGAATGAAAAATCTGTCTTGCCATAGACACAGAGCCCATGTAACTGTCACAAGCAGCTGGAGCTCACAACCGAGTCGAAACCTGTTGTTTAATCGGACCTTCTGCTTCAAAAATGTCTCAAGAAACCTCTGCTGTCATGTGGCACAGAGCTGTATGAACTTATGTACCTGAAATATTTGATGACTTCATAACAGAAATTATAAACACCTTGCTATATTGCAGTGTTCAAGCTGTGCTGCTGTAACACGGTGTGTGGCATGAACAGGTTGCCCCCTGAAAGCTGTCATGAGTAACAGCTGAACATCATGGCAACTGATAGTCTAAGTGTCAGCTGAATGATCTGAGGTGTGGATTACACAGCCAGGATGTTTTTGTGACATTAAATTATTTACATTTGTCTGTGTTTCTCTCTAATATAGCACTGGTTGGAATTCACAAAATCAATTGCAAAGCAAATGAAATGTAAGTACCTGGAGTTTATGCTGTGTCGATAACTGATTGGTCATTTATTTAAGCTTTTCAGTATTAGAGTATTCTTGTTTGGCACCAGGCATTTAATCTGTCAGTTCACAAGAATAAACTTTCCTGTATCCAAGTCTCAAACCAGTTCTTATGTCTCCTTCAATCTTCCTCTAAGTGTTTGATCTCTTACTGTCACAGGATCCCCATCCATTTCTTTAATGTTCTGTTTGTTTCCTCCAGCTCAGCCACCGTTCACCATGTGTCTGAGAGTCAAGTTCTACCCTCCTGATCCCGCTGCTCTCAAGGAGGAAATCACTCGGTATGACCTGCGGTATGACCCCCCTCCCCCCGAAAATACAGCTTACCTTTATTTCACTTGAACAAAATGGAAGGAAGGCCGATTTTTCATGGAGAGAAATCCATCCTTTCATAAAACAGTGAAGAGCAGCTGTGCTTGGCTTTTGTTTTTGCTTACACATTTTCCAATAATACGGATTGTGCTCTACTCTAACTGTTTTGACATAGCAGACATCATTCCTAAAACATAATGATAAATATTACACAGAACAATCTGCAAGAGGAGTTGTGAAGTAGAGAGGGATGTAAAAGCTTTCTTAAAGGACAATGGGAGGAACGTAAGATTTTTGTGTTCTAATACACACATTTGTCCTATGGTAAGTCTTCGTAAATGGGGTCTTGTAATATTTTCATCTTATTCATTTATAGAAAAGTGTATTCATCGCTGAGCAGAGGGAGAAGAGTCCATTCACTCTCCACAGTGTAATCAGATAAATGTGCACCACATGTAGAGCGTACATAATGAACAGAGCGGACAGAGGAGACAGGGGGCAGAGGGTGCTGATTAATAGTAAACATGAAAAGGAGGGAGAGCTAAAGGCTGGGCCGTGGGGCAGAGCAGGACAGATGCATAATGATGAGAGTGGAGAGGGCAGAGCTCAGTGCAGACCACAGAGAGGGAGAGGGGGTGAAGTTCATTCAGTGTGCGCTGCCTTCTGTCTTATTATTCAGGGATTATTTGGACAGTACGTCAACGCCATATAAAAATATTACTCCAAGTGTTATTAATAACATTAATGACGACTGGTTGTTTTATTCAAGTCTCCCATTAAGCAGTGACACTGTGACACTGAGCCACCATGCACCGTACAGCTGTAACACCTAAATGGAACTCAGCAATTATTCACATTTATTATGTGCAACTGTGCTTTTGTTATGGTTTTTAGTTTTACTCGTTTCCATTCTCTGCCACTTGTTGTTGGTTGTGAGAGCCCTATATGAGATGTGCCATATAATCTCTTCACTGTGCTCTGGGTCCTGCCCATTGTCTTCTACCATTTGGATGTGCCTGGAAAATCTGGAATGGAGGGTGCCCAGGCTGCATTCTGATCAGATGTCTGAACCTGAAAGGAGCAACAAGCTTCCTAATCTAGCTATAAGGGTTCCACCCTAAGGAGGAAACTCATTTTGGTGGCTTGTATTTGCAGTCTTTTTCCATTTGTTACTACCCAAACCCGATGACCATAGAGGAGGTGGAAAACATAAGTAAAGTAGTAAACTACTGTATGTTGAACCTGCTGCAGTGTAACTGCCATAAGCAGCTTTTTACATCTCCTTACAGGAAGCATTATTAGCCTTTGTGGAAATGGCATAGATAAAGGGAGATGGGTGTTTAATTTACAAGAATGCCACTGAATGTGTCCTCATCTTTAATAATAAAAATGACAGTAATAACAATAAGAAAGTTGATAACAATTGTCATCATCACCACCATCCTGATGGGTGCTTCAGACATTTCAGACTGAATTTCATGCTTCAGGAGCTGATTGGTTGGGTGAGGATGAAACTAGGCTGGAGGCTTCAAGAGAAGTCCAGCGTCCATATCAGCTTTCCCCCCTGGGCCTTCCTAGCCTCCTTTCCCCAAAAGCTAAATGAAAAAGAAATATTCAAACCACCCACAGGGAACGTGAACTCTGCAGCCTTTGAGGTTGATCCGATCTGTTGTTTTGCTGCCCTGTTCTTGTATTTTCTTGTTGGTTTAGTCCTTTTGTGTTTTCACAGAGGAGTGTAACTGTATGAGTGGTAATTATGAATATCATTAGTATTCCTGTAAGCAGACCTGTCAGACCACCAGATGTGATTTTTGTCCTTTTCTGTATAGATACCTTGTCTTCCTGCAAATCAAGAGAGACCTCTACCACGGCCGGCTCCTCTGCAAAACCTCGGATGCAGCCACCCTGGCTGCCTACATACTTCAAGGTAATGGAATGTGACAGATGCAAACCACTGGCACCACTCTTTGCTTCACACTGTGCTCACGACCTCTGTTTTACCAGACCATGTAGTTCACAAGGCTGATAAATGTTGCAAGCAAGCAAACAGACTTTTATGTGGAAAGATGCTTTATTGGATGATAGAGTGAGAATGTAACAGTATAATATGCCTCAAACAATATGCCTGCAGTTTTTTTTTAATTTTCTCATAACCTTATCTACACTTTACTATGTATAAGTATTTCACGCTCTGATGTGATTTGTCTATACTGACACTGACCCTAAAAGAATGCTATTTTGTATTTTGTATTTGTATGATAAACTCTGCAAGGGCTTGTACAGTCTTTAATAAACAAGATACCACGCTCAGTTATAAAGACTTTGAAGTGGTTATCTAGCATCTTATCTGCCACACATGCATACGCAGACAATACACACATGAGGTATGATGGCATACTTCATAGAAAGTATTCAGGGGAGGCAAGTCCTCTGGAGGAGGCGCTGATGAATTAAAGATAGGCTGCCTGGTCAGTCCCTCCTTGCAGAGAGAGGGAATCAGCATCAGGGTCATCTAAGGGAGTGCAAAGTGGCATGAAGGAACACAAATAATCCTGAGCATCTTCCCCCCCATCTGCACTGACAAAGCACCATCACTTTTGACTTTTTTTTTACTCTGTTTTTGAATATGTTTAACATTTAACTTTTACTGTTTTTTTCCTTTTCTCCAGCTGAGATTGGCGATTATGACCCTGGGAAGCATCCAGAAGGTTACAGCTCCAAATTCCAGTTTTTCCCTAAACATTCAGAGAAGCTGGAGCGGCGGATTGCAGAAATACACAAGACAGAGCTCATGTGAGAGCCTTAATATACAACTACACCTCCACTATTAGCCTCTCTCTGTCCCACATACCTGCATTCAGCACCTGACAGTCAAAACAAACAGCAGACCTCTTCTGACATTTACTGTATGTACTTGACTATAGTACAGGTAATGAGGCTCCACTGGTCTGTACTGGCTTGACCGAACAGATTATTGTTGACTGTTTGCATAGACAGCGAGAAAATGCACTTTCTTCTCAACTATCCCCTCAAACAACGCAGTTAGACTGTGTCATAGCCTCCCCTTTATTTACTCAGTTATTAATGAGGAGCTCTAGCTCCAGCTTTAACTGGGAGAGCAGTCAAGAATGATAGTGATCAAATGGCGCAGACGGACAGAGACATAAACACACCACTCTCACGGACAGCAGGTGATCTGATAAAGCTTATCATTTACACACTGATCCGTCTGATTCTGGCAGTTCATTCATCAATATTATATCATTTCTAATATGAATGTGAAGAGGCAGCTTAAAGGTTAGTGCTGGCTGGAGAAAATAAAGATGTCTTCTTAATTAGATACAACGAGACACAATAGAGGTAGAAGGGTATCAGCCAAGTCTAGGTTTGATGGTGTATAAGTGGAACAGCATGAAATTCTGCTGCCCCCTAGTGGTGTACTCCCTCTTCACCACCATATAAACTCTGCTGCTCTATGAATCCTTATGTTGATTTGGCAGTGTGAATCTAACAAACCAAGCTAAACAATAGGTGCTTATAAATAAATCTCCCATGTTTTCTTACTTTGCTTTGGTTGAGCTTATATTAATGTTTGATGTGTTTTGGTGTAACCCCTGTCTGCCTCTTGCAGTCTCTCTAAATGAATGTATCATCACATCATTCGAAATTAATTTGTACCTTTTTCAGAAGTGTTGAATTTTAGACGTTTCAGACTGACATCAATGTCTGGTGGTGTTGTTGCTCTCCCTCAGTGGACAGACACCTGAAACATCAGAGCGAAATTTCCTCCAAAAGGCCCAGATGCTGGAAACATATGGTGTTGATCCACATCCGTGCAAGGTTGTTCAAGCACTGCTGTACAATTTTCAGACCACAAACATTTTAAAAATATTTTTGTCCAATTGCATATAGAACACTGTAACGCTAAAATGTGTATTTAATTTATTCATGTTCAAATGTATGCATGTTTTCAGGACGTGTCTGGGAACCCAGCTTTCCTCGCCTTCACGCCTTTTGGTTTTGTGGTGCTTCAGGGAAACAAGAGAGTTCATTTTCTCAAATGGTGAGCACAATGTGAAACCTTCTTTTCTGTGAGCCAAAGACAGCACACTCCCCGAGTCTTCGCCAAACACTGTATGGCAAGGCCTCGATTTGACATATGGGGCTCTAGATGTACAGCGCTGAAACAGCATGTGCATTGCAGCTGGTTGTACAGCCCCCTCCATCTGCCTCTACCTGTCACAAGAGCTGCAGACTACAAGGTGCACAGATGGCCGGTTACACCAGCTGGAGTCACAGACATTACTTAGTAAATCAGGCCAGTAGCTTGATACCAATAGCTTCTACTGGTAGCAGACACCTACTGATGTGCAAGATGCTTTAAGGTTATTGCCAGTGAAAATGTACAATATGCAACATGATGCATTTCTGTTTAACATCTTTCATTTTGTCTGTTTGTTTTTCAGAAGGTTACTCCAGCAATAATGAAGACAGACCCATTATGTTTGCAGTATTTATATAAGTTGTTTGTTTGCCTTCGACAATGCTCCGGTGTCCTCCATCCTCTGTTTCCTCTCTGCAGGGAACATTATCAGTTATTTGTTTTGTCAGCCAGACACAGCTCAGTGGCTGTTTATGTGATCTCGAAGTACTTGTCATGAATATTTAAAGAGACTGTGGCTTTTTCCGTTTCCACTTGTTGTTTGTGTAACTGTGTCTTCACTCTCTCTCTCCTGGCAGGAACGAGGTGACCAAACTGAAGTTCGAAGGCAAGACATTTCACATATATGCAAATCAGAAGGAGGTGAGAGCATGAAGTGTTGGATGTAGGGGGAAACGGTCCAAATGGCACTGCCTGTAGAGCGTGTTTTTCTTTCTCAGTTTGTTTTATTGTCCTGCACGGTCTCTTATTTTCAACGTGCAGGACAAAAAGATCATCCTGACATACTTTGCACCCACACCGGAGGCATGCAAGCACCTCTGGAAGTGCGGAGTGGAGAACCAAGCTTTCTATAAGTGAGTTCAGAAATAAACACTTTCCATCATTTCATTCTATCATTCTGTCTCTTCCCTTCATCTCTCCATCATGATGTGGTCAAGTGCACTACATCTGTGAGTGCTGTCGGGCAGGTTACCATTACAGTACCTCAGTCTCCTTAAAAGTTCTTCCCTCCGGGTTGTTTGTCCACGGGAAAATGAGGTGTGTGTTACCACTGACCTTTAATGAATGAGTGTGCACTGGCATGAGCCTGCAAGCACTTAGGCGCTCCTGAAATATGGCTTCCTTGTTTCAGCGATGAAGAAGGGTGGGTCTCCTCTGCTCTTGAGATAGGAGATTTAAAAAAAAAGCATGAGCTCTGGCTGGGAGCGTGCAGTAATGATTCGAGCTGATGGCTCAGGCAATAAAGGATGTGATGGGGTGATGAAGTTAATATGATGCAACCTTTTGATGGCTCTGAAGTAGCAGACTCATATTTTATCAACCATCTACTTACTAAGACATTACTGTACTAAAGAGTCTGAGGGTCATGTGATGTGTCTTTCAGAGAAGCACATATATTCCTGGAAAAGAAACAGTAACGGTGTCTCACTTACTATGCCAATATAAACATATTGAATCCTATGTGGATGTAGCACCGAGTTCATGCATAATTTAATACAGTAGAAGGGCATCATCCTGCGTTGTTCTGACTATGTGGATGTAGCACAGAGTTCATGCATAATTTAATAGAAGGGCATCATCCTGCGTTGTTCTGGATTGTAAAAGCAAAAATTACATATATTCACACTTCAAATGTGTGATCATACTGCAATAAAGAGTGTAGAATTTGTTTATAGGCTTCATTTTTCTTTGTGTTTTCCTTCCATCAGGCTTGAGAAGTCGAGTCAGGTTCGCACGGTGTCCAGCAGCAACCTGTTCTTCAAGGGCAGCCGTTTCCGTTACAGGTAGAGTACACGACCAGGCAGTATGACTGGTGGAAGGGAGGGGAGCACACTGCTGGAAGTGGAGGGAGCTGTTTGAAGACACGGTCTCTTCTGTGATGCATCGTCAGCCCACTGTTGTCTGAAGCATAGAAATGACGCCTCGAGATAGAGAAGGGAAATGAAGAGGATTTTTCACATGGCACATTATCCCCTTGTCACTGCTGTAAACCTGAAGATACCAATGTTAATGCGATGAGCTGTGTAAATTATACATAAAAGATATTTTCTCAATCACCATGCAGATTTTGAGATATCCATCTCAGTTTTCTGCTGCTACCTTCATACAGTGCAGATTTTGTTTGTGGCGCTCACAGCATCAAACAGTACGGTACATATCTCAAAGAATTAGCAGGTACAATGCACACACATTTACTGCAACAGATACTGCTGAAAGCTCATTTCCATATGGAGTCCCTGAGTGGAGGCCATCAGGGACAGTTGGTTGACATAGTTGGGTAAGACTGCACATATCTGCATTGTTAGATACAAGTTTTTTTTTATTAGAATGAACTGCCCCTTTAAGAAGAAATTATTCATATAAAGTCAAAAGTAAAGGGATGACAGTTATCTGGTCATAGTCGTGTATATGTAGTGACATCACAAGCCAGTTACTGTAAATGCTGAATAAGAGCAAACCTGCAAGTCTGTATGTGCATTTGTCTGACTGGTGGTAATTCAGTTACACAGCTGAATTTGCTGGGTTAATTCAATCATAATGTTCATACTGTACACATCTACTGCAGTGATGGCTTTCATGGCATTAGGTGACAGCAGATTGCCTGGTTGTGTGTGTGTATGTGAAACTCATCCTGAGCATGGTCTCTGTGCTTTATAACAGTGGACGAGTGGCAAAAGAGGTGATGGAGCAGAGTGCCAAAATCAAACGTGAACCTCCAGAAATACACAGGTAGAGTTGTAAACTCAGGAGAGGTCAGAATGTTCTCCAGCAGATTTTTGTTTCCATTTTCCTCCATTTTTAGGCGCCAAGCTACTGTAGATGTCTTTATATCAGCAGCAACTACTCACTGCAGTATGAGTGATCTGCGCTCGCAGTACAGTGACATTGGTGCATTTGTGACTGTGTTTGTGTCTGCAGGGCTGGCCTTGTGCCCAGCAGAAGTTGTCCATCCATCACGCATGGGCCTCGCCTCAGCAGTGTACCACGCACGCGTCGGAGAGCTGTGCACATATCTATCATGGAGGGTAAGAACTGAACTTCACCCTCATGCTTCAGCAAGCAGCAAATGTCAAAGTGGCCTTGGAAGTGCTGGGGGCAAATCTGTGTTTTTGCAAGAAGTTGTTTTCTTTAGATGCCATATGGTGAGCGTGGCATTGTTTTCATGTAAACCTCCCCCACTGAAACATGAAATGCATATTTTCATTGTTTTTCAGGAAGCAGGTTAGCTCCCCTTTTTATATCTGTTTCTATCTTTAAATGATGTGGTATTGCACCAACAAACTGACATTTTTAAATGAATCTAGGAGACATTAGTCCTGTTTGTGAGACCTTCTCCCTTTCTTGAGAAAATATGCATACATTCTCTTTCTCTCTCTCTCTCTCTCTCTCTCACACACACACAGTTTGTTTCGTAGTCCATGGGGACTTTACATTGACTTACATGCATTTCCTGTAGACTAACCCTAACCTTAACCAGAACCACTACTTGCCTAACCCTAACCCTGACCCTAACCTTAACCTAACCCTAACCTCATCCTAACCCTAAAACATGTTGCCACCCTAAAATTCAATTTCTTGCCCATGGGGACCTCAATTTAGGTCCCCACTGTGAAATGGGTCCTCATGAGTTGGTATGGAGTCAGGAAGAAGTCCCCACATAGCAGGAAAAACACGTACACACACACACACACACACACACACACACGCTGTTACTAGATCCATCTGACCCAGTTCATGCTTACTGCCCTGGTGGGACATGCTGCAGGTGTGTGTGTCAGTCAGCCTGCTGCACTGAAGTGCAGTGTTTCAGAACTATGTGTGTCTGTTGTACCAACACAGCGGCAGCTAAAGTCGTTTCTCCAGCCCACCTGCAGGTTCCTGGCCCAGAACAGGTGGCCTCTGTGCCTTTGTTAGTGAGATGGACACAGCAGGCATGCAGTCATGGATCGCTCTAGGTAAAACCAGACAGTGAGACCCTTTGGCCCTGCCTTTCAGTTCTATACTCTCTAACTCTTCATACACTTACTCTAGATAAACATGGGTCAGTAGCAGACACTCTGTTTGTACTGAGGATCTTTTGCTTTGAGTTTAAGAGAGCCATAACAGCCTCTGCCCTTGGTGTGTGCTGACTGGGTGTCTTATACTGACAATAATACCTCAGCTGAAAATAGCCAAGGTCTTCTACTCCTTGTATGTCACTGGCTTGGGTGGGGCCAAACCAAGCCAGGCCAATGCTGACAGCCATAGTGCTGCTGCAGAAACCCGCCATTTCACCTCACACACTCTTCTCCGCAAAAGACAGCTAAGGCAGAGCCCTTCAGCCTAACACGCACCCACACACAGTGAGACTGTGGCCTGAACTCCGGGACAGGGACCATAAGGACAGGATAAACACGTGCAGGTTGCAGCCATGGTGAAGTGTCTGATCCGCATCACCACCCGGGTAAACGTCCACCTACGTATGATCAACCACTGCTACCGGGATGTGAAGGTCCGTGTGCTGAGCCTGGGGCCGCGTATGCTGGGCAAGGCCCTGGGCGTTCTGCCCCTGTATCCTGCCCTGACAGCGCAGCAGGAGTCTGCCAGTGTAACGCCCCTTCCTGGCACTCCACTGCCCTGTGCTCAGCCCAGCGACCGCCCAGGTAAACTCATCACAGAGCTCGCCAGGAGTGGGCTTTACATGGACGGAGTAATGTTCTTTAGCATTACAGGCAGATCATCACTGAGTCAAGATGGGCGCTGATGCACATCCAGATTTTTGCTGTCTTCTTTTTAATGTCAGCAGAGGCCTAGAAACTGGACGCAATTCATCCTACTTTTTCTGCAGTTTTAAAAAAAGTCCTTTTCATGATTTGCGTCCCTATCAAAAGCTGAATTTTAATCCCTTCTCCTTATAGTCAGGAGTGTAATTTTAGTGCTTTGGCACTCTGGAGAATGTGGATGTGTCAGCAAAGGGCTCAACCACAGCTCATCTTCACTGACATGCACACTGCAGAGTGGCTCTCATGTACTGGACTTTCTTAATGCATTGTTGACTGTTTCTAGATACAGTAGGTTTAGGCAATATGACAACATATGCTCTGAGACAATATAAATTTGTCTACCACCTCAGATTTTGCCTTACTGCTTCTGCTGTTACTGCCACTTTAACATCTACAGTTTAAGGCCATTGTAGGCACTTTTGCAAGTCAGTAGTTATGTTGGATGTTTAGAAGATTCTTTCTAAAATTCGAAAAGATTCTTGTATCAGTTTGAGGAATTAACTTGATTTGTCTGGTGTTTAATCAGCTGGATCAGCCAAAACACATTCCTGTATTATTATTATTATTATTATTATTATATTATTTATTCATAACCACATTTTGCCTAAAATGTCCCTTTATCACAGTATTAGGTTACATTTACTGTAATTGAACATTTGAGCCAGAGATTTCATTCCTAGATGAAGGATTTTTGTTTGCCTTTACATTTTGGAAAGACTGAAATGTTCGATGGTGATGTCGTCAGGTTGATTATATGTTTTTTACAGGTGTCTTTTCTTTAAAGACTAATTTAAAACAACACTCATAGGTGGAGGTATAGTACTGCAAAGAGGAAATTTTTGTACTAAAAACACTGTAGCTTTAACAAACACCCTCTTGGTGACTGGAAGTTTCCTATTATCTTCAGCTGAACTGTGTAACATGTTTGTGTTTTGCCTGCCCCTCATCTCTTACTTTAGTAACGCATTGGAAAGGGATGTCTTCTCATCGAGTATGGACAAGTGGAACGTAGTAGCAAACAAAAACTTTTTAAAATCTACATATGGGCATGTTATTGTTGTTTTTAGGACAGACTTGAAACAATATAAACCTATCCTTTATTGTAAGAATAAGTTATACAAGTTTTAAAAGAAGGGATATATATGATTAACATTAATATCCAAAGCGGGATCAGTGATATAACCTCTACCTCATGTGCATTCAGTACAATAACAGTACTCTCCTCGTCTGTTTCACTCTGGGGACGTCATGATCAGATTTCTACTCTCGGGTTGGAGACTGCGTCTGCAGCCTGTAACTCTGCTGGACAAACAGCTGAGGAAACCTGTCAGCACCTAGAACCAGAACTCCAGTATAATGTCTATGAACGCCACATAAAGTCGGTAATCTTTTTCCATGCCATAAAGTGTTTATATTCCTTTAATCTCCTCTGTTTCCCTCTTCCTATTTGAACCCTCCTCCAGGTCTGGAGTCCCTACGTGACAGTGCCCACTCTACACCAGTGCGTTCAGTGTCCCATGGCGAGTGCTTTATACCACGCTCCCGGAGTCAGGCCACAGACACCAGTGAGAGGACGGCGGTGATCTCGGATGAGGCCTACAGCCCCTCCAACAGCGTCCTCCCCACCCCGGTAGTCGAGCATAGCATGGAGCTGGCTGTCTCACGCCAGATCAACGGCGCGCCCTGCAGCATCGAGGAGGAGAGGGAGTCCGAAGCAGGCACCCCTACGCAGAGGGAGGTGGGTGATTTTGGTGCAGACGGTAGATCTGCACAGGAGGGTGCAGAGGGTGACTCAGCCCTCAGCGAAGTGGAACAGGTGAATAAGTTTGTCCTAAGTGTCCTCCGTTTGCTCCTCGTGACCATTGGACTCCTCTTTGTCTTGCTCCTTCTCCTCATCATCCTCACTGAGTCAGACCTTGACATAGCATTTTTACGTGATATCCGCCAGACCCCAGAATTTGAGCAGTTCCATTATGAATACTTTTGTCCCCTCAGGCGGTGGTTTGCCTGCAAGCTCCGCTGGGTGGGCGAGTTGCTCATTAACAAGTGACAGTGAGGTTGTAGAGTTCATAATCCTGTTCGGGGGTTTGAGAAGACGGCAAGGACGATGGCGTGATGGAGGGCAACCTCATCCCAACTGTGAACCCTTCTCCCATCATCCTCCTGCAGACACATAGCTTGGACCACTCCAGGTAACACTGGGCCAGGATATCTCTTCTTCTCCTCCACCTCGAGTTAACAACCATCTTGTTGTTTTTGCTCATTTTCATCTTCTTTTTTCCTACAAAGCCAGAAGACATTTTTTTGCAACTTTATTTTTTATTTCAAGCCATTTCAGGTATTTTATTTTTTCAAATAACACAAAAGAAAAAAAATTTAACAGGGGAAAAAAAGAACAGATGAATTTCACGGGAATCAGAGATTTTATTGCAACAGATTAATTTCGCCTTCATTTATTATTTTTAAACATACAGTATATTTGCATAAGAAAAGGGAAGAGATGGTGGACAGCAATCAGGGACGATTTTTGTCATTAAAAGAGGGAAGTGTGTTAAGTTAAAGTCGACAGGCCTGGTATCAACAGAACAGACAGGCTGATTACCAAATGCCGTGTTGGCAGTTTGAATTTTGTGGATTGTCTTTTGACACCATTATACTTTAGTATACCATGGTGTACTGTACAAAGTAACCTGGTGAAGCTCAAAGCTGTTTCTCTAATGTTTTATAAGGATACAGTAAAGTAACTAGTACCAATAATCTTATGTGACCTGGTAGTGTCAAATGCAGTTAGAGAAATATTCATCACAAGAAAAGACTCGCTGGCACCAATAGATAATAGCCTAGATAGCTGTGCAATGTTCATATGGTTTTAATAAGTAAGTGGTCATTGTTCAGTTTGGTTGTTCCCAAATTAATTTGATTTGCATTTTTATATCAAGTTGAAATTCGATGAATTTCAATTATTTCTTTGTATGAAAAGTTTGATTTGTTTTGGTTTCATATCAAACTTGCTGTTAGGCTTATGTATCATACTATATTATTATAATTAGAATAAGAGTAATGATGTACTTTTTGTACAAATTAGTTTGTTTCCTAATATATATTGACAGGTTTTCCATGTATATTTTAACAGAGCTGAAATGATATTTTGTTATCAAAGATTAAATTTAACCTTTTTTAGTGCTGTATTTCAAGTAAGGTTAGAAGCATTCATGGAAATGTGGAGTGGGTGGGGTGGGGCCTAAAAGAACAGTGTTTTTAATCCAGATTCACTCAAGACTGCTGATCACATTTCTCATCACACCACCAGCAGTGAATCAGCCTTCTATGTATGTGCAACTTTAATGATCATTTTACATTCTGTATTTGTATAGAATACAATCAGGAGATATCATTATACCACCACACATAACAAATAATTATATTTTCACCTTTCATAATTTTACTGTATTTTACTTTACTCGAAGAGCAGAGGTGACTGGGAGCCTGACCGATACTGGATCTGCACCAAACACTAAAAACTTGTTCCTTGACCTAACATGCCACTAAAATTTATTAGACTAGTTAACTGGTTGATAAAACATTAACTGGCAACTACTTTGACAGTCATCAGACTTCAGGCAAGAATGCCAAACATTTCCAGTTTCGGCCTCTCCAATGTGACTGTCTGCTTTTCTCTGTCCAAATATTTCTCAATCCAACATCATTTGGCTTTTGACTGTTGGACAAAAAAATTTAAAGCGATTTAGCTTATGTTGCCAGTGGTTCTTAGGAAATACAATGGGCATTCTCACTGTTTATGACATTTTATAGCCATTGTTGGGCTGTAACGCATTACTAGCAACGCGTTACTGTAATATTACTTTCCCCAATAACGAATAGGGTAAAAGGTACAAATAAAATTTCAGTAATAACGTTGCAGTTACTCTCTCCAAAACAACTCGTTTCAGTGTTACTTTTGCTGTCACCAATTGGATTTCAGTCGTCGACAGCAGCCTACAACAAGCAACAAAGAGCTAACTTTACTTTGTTAAGCTTGTGGCTGGATATGTGGTATATGTCCATTTCCACGACTGACCCTCCACCCTTCAGACAGATTCATGGGAAAATGCCGGTCACGGGCACCAGCAGACCCCCAGGTAAATAAATCATTTGCAAGATACTACCAATCTGTGGGGTGTAACAGAAAATTAATGTAACAAGTAGTGTAACGAGTTGCGTTTGACAGGGAGTAATGATATAGATTTTTAAAAAGAGTAACGAGTAATAATGTATTACATTTTCTAAGTAATGAGCCCAACATTGTGTATGGCCTAAGCAAAGAAGCTATCACAGAAAAGAATATTTAACATTAGATTATCAACAATGAATGTAATGAGGTACCTCATGAACCTTATTCTGAACTATGTGCTTTCTTCCCTTGATTTTCAACTAGTGGCCTAAATAAAAGCAATACCGGTACAGCCACAATATGCCAGTAACATTACACTACCTTGCCCTTTGATTTGTCGGTCAGGCTGAAGACCCTTCTGCCTCATAGCACCAGGGACCAGTAACTGTCATTGCTGCTGGATTCTGGGTCAAATCCGTTTTTGTGTTGTTTCTATCTCCTCTGCATTGCAGGTTTAAGTTTTAGGGTGTCTGTGTGTAGGAATGGAAAGAAAATTCAGGGTGATAGTGATGGAAGTTTAGACAGAAGAGAGTAAAAGGTTAATTTTTCATATTTTATTTAGAAGGAGAAACTTGAGCAAGACTTGCAGCAAGGAAAAGTGGAACGGGATGAAATGAGAGGAGAGAAGACTGAGGGAAATCAGAGGTTCAAGTGATCAGTCTGCTTTTTTAAACAATAAATTGGGAATGGAAGGCTCCTGGTGATTCATTGGTCTAACAGCTGTTCAGGGTTGTTTGGTTTCGGCCCTCACCTGCAGCTGCTCCACTGAAGGTCCAATGGTGCTACTTTCTTTGCTCCTGTGTAATGCGAGCCTGTCAGTCCGCAGCTGTGTTGCAGACCTGACCACAGAGTAGCATGCACTTTAGCGTTGTGGCTGGATCCACTCCTGTAGCTCATTATCCTTTAAAATCTGTAGTTCTCTGTGGTGGAGGGAGCAGCGCCTACATTCGATCATTAGAGCTGCAGTGACGTACAGTGTAGGAGCTTATTTATGTCAAGTTAATGGGTTTTAACTTGGATCCCTCCAATAAATAACAGATGCAATGTTGAAGCACATTGGAGCAGTGTGGGTGTGTTTATTTTTTATTTTTTGTGAAAATTCATATTTATTGTTTCTTTTTCTAACATAAAGGTCAGTAGGACTGGCCAGTCCAGCTAGGCTGAGTTGTTAGGACATCTTTCAGCGGTCAGTCTGCAAAGGTGTTTCTCATGCATCTATCAGCATTATGTAGCTTCAGTGGTCTCTCTGAAAATGCAACAATATAAAAAAAGGCAGCATTATTCAAGGAGCAATAATGTAAGATGTGGTTTACAAACCTGCTTATGAAAATCAATGATTGATTGATTGATTTTATTCTTTCAAGCAAGTAAAGATAGTCGACATGTCAACACACATAATTTCACACATATCCAACAAATGCTAATCCCTTATCAATTTGCTTATACCTAGTACGTGCTTGAACAGAGTAGGAAGAAGTCAGACTTATCCAGTCCTACCCCATAACATCATCTTACCATCATTGGTTTGCAAGCAGTATCTCTACATAGATAATTTTGTTCTACACCACACAAGTAATATACTAAAAAATTATTAAGATTGTTAACATTCTTACATAATTACATGATGAAAATGTCCTTTCTGTTACAAACCACTTAGGTGTTGTGCCGACTTTAACAACGGTGTCACCGTAGCTGGAGCTGCATCCAGTAGTAAGAAAGAAACATTTTATAAAAATCCATCTTCCATAGAGCCTTCCTGTGTGGATGCATGTTTCTTTATTGTTTTCACTGTCAAGTGACAGTTCCCTGGATCCTAACTGCAGTTTACCAACAACCCTGTCAACTACATATCATTAAAACTCCCAGGCTGAGATGGAAAATGGTGTCCATCTCTGGCTGAAACTGTAGGTAGCCCAAAGTCTTAATTTGTCTTTACGGGCATGTTTCATGTGACAAACCTGACTTTTACTTTTCAGTTGCTTTCATGTTTACATAGTTTACTATTCTTTTATTTAATGGGAAATGGCTACAGTTCTGGCCAGATGTGTGACTTTTGATGATCGAACATGCCATCCATGGTTTAAAAACTACTGCTGTCTCTGATAAGCAACCATAAGCATAGAGTACACAATACAGTATGGTGTATTGGATGATGAAGAATCAATTCTTGTGTTTAAACTCATACAGTGGATGAACTCAATAACAAACACCTGCATGGTACAGTATAATGCAATTTCATCTAACAAATCTTACATTTGCAAAACTAAACCGTTCTTGCTTAGGCTTTGTCAGGGGTTAGGTGCATTTTGAGGCTGTCTTTTGTGGTTACTGTACTGAACTGCACTTTACTGTGAGGTGTTCTTGTTATTTTGTCTACTCCCTGTTTTGCTATTTTCAACAATCAGACAGATACCCAAATAGAAAACGCCAAAAAAAAAAAAGAAAATACATACTGTATATGACATAAACCTAAAGTGTCAGATTGTTATTGGCCGTCCTTCATACACTGTTTTAATGTTTTTGTTAATATTTGATTAGTTAATTACATAATCTATTCAGATGCACAGTAGGCTACCTGATGTTCTTTCCTGGTCAAAACCCCTGTCACCTTAATATGGATGACACTTGCATAACAGAGGTTAGTTACAGTTATAGCCAAAGGCAGTTTGATCTGCTCTTTGCTTCTCTGTCAGCTTGCAGTAATCAGACCCTCACAGGACTGTGCATACATGTAGCGTCTGTGCATATCCATGTCTGGTGGTTTATGTAGTCTGCATTGTTCGATCCTGAGATTGGAGCTTGTTTAGTTATGTTATATATACACACACAAGTATATATAAATTCATGTGCCAAATCCAGTTCTTGTTTAGTCTGAGCCATTCCAAAGTCATGTTTGTACTTTAGGTAACCTTCTGTACAAGTCAGTATAAAATAGTTTCTCTCCAATAGTCCCTTGTAACTGGTGCCATTAAATAAAACTATTCAAACTTGAAATAAACATTGAATGAAAAGGTGATGTGGCTCCCCCCTGTGGCTTTGTGGAACAACTACTTCAGGACACGTTGCTCTTCTCTAGCACAAACATTTTCTGAATATAGACTGGTTTAAGCAATAAGTCATTAATAAACTTTTGTGTCTTTAATATAAAGAATTAAGATGTACAGAGTGAAAAGTTCTCCATCAGTCAATATAAAGTCTGGACCCAATGAAAATAAATGTATAAAACATAAATGTACAATTTTAACAGGTTCAGTAAACAGTTGGGATAGAACATATAAATGCTTTACAACAATTACTAACACCTACTGTTACATGGTGTTTTAAAAGTCCAGATGATGGGCCTAGCTTAAGTGTGAAAAGGCCGGCTTTAAGAAGGGCCGCTGGTTGGTCTGAGGGGTCGGGGGAGCCAAGATGCCCGGTGTCCTGGCTGTCGATCCATTTCCTGCGGAGCTCCTGCCCCTAGGACCTGCGACTTTTGATCCACCTCTGTAGGTGCCCGATGACCAGGACTTATTACTGCTATAGCCTCGACTGAACCCACAACAGGGCAAAAGATATGGGAGAAGAGAAAAAAGTTTCAGGTATGAACTGAAGCTTATTGCTAAACATAATTCCAACTAAATGATGAAAGGTGACACGATACAAACCCTTTAGAACTAGCACTTGTGTTGCCATATCCTTTTCTCTTCTTGGAATACTGGAAGAATGGAGCTTTCTTCCTCTTCTGTCCTTGTGGGGCCTGATTACGGAAGTAGGTGGAGGATTCCGTGTCGTCCTCGTCATTAAAATCTACGCTTGTACGTCCTCGTGTTGTGTCTATCCACCCGTCTCCACCACTGTTGGTCTGTTCATCTGCTACAGAAACAACAGCTGATTCATACCACAATGTGCAAACAACAAATTAAAAAGGGGTAGGGGGGGTTGAAAGTTGAAAGTATGTCCCTTACCTGGCAGCTGCCATTCAGAGTATTTTTGTAGGACCTGGATGACTTCAGCTCCATACTTGTCCAGTTTGTCCTCTGTTACCCCATCAATTTGCAGGAGGGCCTCAGGGTCAGAAGAAAGCTTCTCTGTTCATGGGGAAAAATAAAATGATCAAGTTTTAAAATGCTAAGTTTATTGTACAAGTTTTTGTATTTGAAACTGTCTTAAAAGTACCAGCTATCTTTTTCAAGGTGGCAGTGGAGAATATGTTGTAATAGTGAATGCCAAACGTTTTCCCCAGCTGCTTGCACAGGTCTGTCAGCTCCTTCAGACACTCCTGAACCATCTCCTCTCTCTTGGAGATGTTTTTGGCCACAGCAGCTTTATGTTTCCGGATGCTAGATGCACTCTCTGTCTCATAGAACTCCACCTGTGGTGGGACAAGTGTCAGTTAGTGTCTAATGTTTTGATTAACATCTAACACTTCAATACGTCTAGAGTGATATTCTAGCTCTTCACACTGTCATAAGGATGTTGTGGGACCCATTACCTGCATGTGTCCAGACAGCACATTCATGGCTTTTGGCCCAGCAGAGATATATATCACAGCTTGACCGTTGACTGTGATGTAGAGGTCCTCAACCAGAACGTTGTCCAGAACCAGCTTTTTGAAGAGACGGTCAGCATTATGCCTGGAGTAGGCTCCTCCTATGCCAAACATTCCCACCTGTATCTTGGCAGATTTGGAACCTAAAAAAAAAATAAAGGTTTCCCCAACAGGAACATTCAGTGCAATTCTTTATACATACGTTAGTTTCACTGCAAGTATGTGCATGTACTATACCTAGGAAGATGTCCACCAGCATGTTTAGTGTCAGCCGGTTTTGCTGAGCAGTCTTGCCAAACCTTGCTCCAACTTTCTCGCAGTTCTCCTGGACAAACCTCACAATCTTCTTCACATCTTCAGTAACGTTCCTTATCTTGTATTGCTGCACACAGGAATGTTCAAGCGGTTACTCAAATGGAACCAGCCAGGTAGGTTTTCTGAATTTGTGGTGATTATGTGATGAATAAAGAAATGATTCCTACGTTGGGTTTGGCACAGTTGTCACAGCTGACATCGGGGTGGTCCTTGCAAAAGCTTTTGTTGAACTTCAGCTCCCCAAAGTAGGCGAGCAGCTGAATTCTTCTGCACTCCATCATGTTCTCACAGAAGTGCACCATGCTGTGTAGGTTGTTGTAATGAGTCTGCTTGGTGTGTCTATCACCTTCTCTGTCCACTGCAATAAAAAGAACCATGTAAGTCTACATGACTAATATATACAGTTAGTCATTTGGATAGTTAGGAATGACAGAGAAAAGAAAACATATTGAATAATAAAAAAAAAAAGACTGTTCTTTTTGCCACATACTGCTAATGATCCTCTTGATGCGGTGAGCATCGGCGTAGGAGTAGAAGAGAATGCAGTGAGAGATGTCTCCATCTCTGCCAGCTCTCCCTGACTCCTGGTAGTAACCCTCCACTGATTTGGGCAGACTGGCATGAATCACATAGCGCACATCAGGCTTATCAATGCCCATGCCAAAGGCTATTGTGGCACAGATGACCTGGCAGACAATGAGGAACAGTGAAACAAGAGCACATCTCAACTTCTACTTCTAACATTTACTAGTTTGCAAAATGTTACCTTTATTTTTATGTGCACTACTCTGTATCAGGTGCCCTCTATATTCAGATCTGACCTCACCTGGCAGCCGTCTTGATTGATCCACTTGCTCTGCACATATTCTCTGTCACCGTCACTCAGGCCTGCGTGATATGACAGAGCTAAAATCCCGGCTCTCTGCAGACTCTCAGCCATGGCATCGCAGTCATTACGGGACAGGCAGTACACAATACCAGAGTCACCTGAAACATGAGAGAAGGTGGTTAACAAGCATATGATAAATCCAGAGGAGGATCCCTACAGCAATAACTCCAAACATGGTCATTCTTTCATTTCCTAAAATGCTACTTACAAAAGCAGCTAATCATTTGACAAAAACATGGATTTTAAATGACTGTCAACATAAGTAAGAAATTTACAGTCATCTGATTATAAAAACTTCTTAAACTGCAGCAACCAAACAGCAACATATTTATCAGATCAGATGCAACATAATCTAAAGGAGTTCTTAACTGCAGGCTGACCGTTTCCCTGAACTGCTCCAACATTATTTATGCATGACAGACCTCAGCATGTGTTCACATACAAATCTGGGTTGACTTTTCAACAGATAAAACAGATACTGTACAACAGCGCTCTGAAAATAGCAGGAATTGTACTTCTGAATTATTTACGTGGGTAGTGCTTTTTGATCCAGCTGATGCAGTCCTCATCAACCTTTTTGGGTTTCTTGGGCAGCACAGCATACTTCAGGTTTATTCGGTTGAAACTCATGGTAAACCTGGAAATATATTGCATGGAAAATGTGCAGTTACTGTTGGCTGAAACAGAATCACAGTTACACTTCTGAGACGGAGCCTAAAATCTAACACATACACCTGCGGCCGAGTCATATTCAGCTGGTTGAGGATGTCTTTCTGGACACGGGGAGTGGCCGTCGCTGTCAGAGCCATCATTGGCACGTTGGGGAATTTCTGACGCAGTTCATGCAACCTCTTGTAGTCTGGACGGAAATCATGACCCCACTGAAAGATTTAAGGTCATGGGATGATTCATAATGGCTGGTGCGAAAATAAGAGCTTTGCAGATTGCATATATGGTAAAAGCTGAGGAACACACCTGACTGACACAATGAGCCTCATCTATGACAAACCGTGCTAAAAGCCCTCGCTCGTACAGGTTCTGCAGGGCGGAAATCAGCCTGGTACTTGCACTCACCTTGGGGGGAAGAAAAGATGCACCAGTGTGGAGTAAAAATCAGTTACCAACAGAGGTTGCAACAGACTCTCTCATTGTCCATCATTTTGATGGAGGGTCATAAAAATATCAATCTATTATTAGGCTACCTATCAATTTAATTTTCATTTTTAATGATATTTAATATGATTTAATTTTCTTTTATTTTTCTTTATTCGTTTATGTAACAAACTTATGTCCAGCAACTTTTCACATCAGCACCACAAAGCAAATGTGAACATTGCAATTTCATAAAACTAGACAATTTCCATTAAAATATGAAAAGTCTGGCCAACTGAATTGAACTCAGCTGGCCTGCTATAGCCTAGCCAGCTGCAAAGGCAAATGTCATTAGGTTTTGCACCTTCAGACAGATGACGTCTCATGGCTGTTATAGTTTTGATGTGAAAGCTGAACCAGTGCTCTGATGCCACAGTGGAGGCTGGACTTGCCAGATGCACTTCAGCCAAAGCTCTGAAGTTGGGGTTCATTTCTCATGGGAAGTATTTAGAAACTGCTCTGAAAGTGGGATTTCCTAGTCCTGAAGCACTCCATCTGCTACCTGCACTCCTTCTGTACCAGAGGTGCAGCACCCCTCTGTGATCCATAGAGGTCACAGACGTGCTCTGTGCCCTCCAGTCTGTGGTTCTTCAACGCACTGTCAGTTCCCGATTAGGTAAATGCTTGACTATGGTCTCAGTTGTTCTTCATTTACTGCATCAGTTACTCTTTCTCCTCACCACAGCAATTATTGAGCTTTTTAGGAGCCTAAGTTAGGTTGTCATCAATTTTCTAATCTGTCAAAATTACAGATGACCTTAAAATTTTGTTGTCATTTTTTAAAAAAAAGAAAAAAGTCAGTGACAAAATATTCAGTTAACGCAGCCTCTTTTTACCAATCATGTTACTGTATCAAACAAGAAAACAGGTTTAGAGCACAAGTCATAAATTTCTCACCTTTTCAGGAGTGACATAGAGCAGTTTAATGATGGGGTCTTTCCTGGAGAGCTGCAAATAAATCCTCCCTGCTTCACTGTCACTTTTCTCACCAGACAGACTTGTTGCTGGAATCTGAAAAGTGGGAAATCACAAAATATAGGATGCGCATTCTGAGTACCACACATATTGTAACAGCTTCAAGCTGTACTTCACTCAGATCAAACTGACAAGCAGAAGCAAACATACTTACATCCAGAGTAGTGAGTTTCTGGATCTGGTCTACAATGAGGGATTTGAGTGGGGAGATGACCACAGTGACTCCTGGTGACACGCAGGCAGGCAGCTGGTAACATAGACTTTTACCGCCACCTAAAAAAGCATCAGTTAGAGAGACTGGGACTTCACTGCAGTTGTTGCACAGCTATGTGTGTATCTATCATGTAAGACCTGTGCCAACCTGTGGGCATCAAAACAAAGGCATCTTCCCCCAGAACTGATGCATTAATTGCTTCGAGTTGATTAAATCTGAACTGATGAAGACCAAAACGCTTGTGAAAGATCTTCATCATCTCCTGTGAGTGGGGGAAGTTGAATCCTCGGAAACGATCGTGGGCTGGGTTTCTATAGGTGGGCTCTGCAGTGAGAAGCAATACATTTGAGTCAGTAAAAATGCACCAGACCATAAAACCACAAAACAATTTTTCAAAATAAGCATCTGTATTTAGCATAAATCTTATAATCACTCCTCAAACTAAAACAAAATGTTCTTACTAAGACCTTATATATTAAATACAACAGACCGAAAAATTAAACTGTCATCTTGTTTTTCCACTGCTGTTTTGCAGTTCACATTTTCAAAAGATAGACATGTCACTTGATGCAAACAAGCTTGTAGGACAGGTAAAAACAAAAAAAATGTAATTTGTATAAATTACACAAATGACAAATGATCTGCATTTTGGGTTTGTAGGTTAAATTTAGCACCGTTTACCCATCCCGCCTAAACGTTGGACCATATATAAATGCAGAAGCTTGGGCCAGGTAAGTAAAAGTTCCTGCTCTGAGATGTTTCATAAACACAAGCCCATATTTTCCCATGCCATGCTGGCTTACCAGGGGAGCAGAACTTTGAAGGTTTTGGTGCAGACACGGGTGTCGCTGGTTTCTTCTCCCATGAAGATTTGCTTGGTCCCCCTTCTTTCACTGTTGTAGTCACAGTGCTGGAGTTTTGTCCCAATGCTGATGAAGTTGGGGGTTCATCAAAGTAATCAGGGATATCAGAGTCATTAAAGTCATCTATGTCAAAGTCGTCATTGTAAAAGTCACCTAGTTCTATGTCTTCAGAAGCTGTGATGGCTGCTGGAGTTTTCAGTCTGTTCTGAACAGTCTCTGGCTTCTTGGGTGAAAAGAAGAGATCTGAATCATTCAGGTCTGTGCTCAACTTCTTAGAGAAATTAAAAGATGGTTTTGTGTCACAGATACTCTCATTTTCAACATACACTGTCCCGGTGTCTTCACTGAACAAGGGATTAACATCAATAACACTGTCAGAGTGATCAGATTCCACAGAGATCACTGAAGATCTCCTGATCAGAAGAGGTTTCTTGGAGTCCACAGTCACAGAGCTGCTGGATGACATGACACTAGACATATCACCGGTAGAAGATGATTTTTCTTTTAAGCTAGGTTCAGATATCACAGTGCTGTCAGGCTGCTGCATCTTCAACAAAGCTTCACCACCTGTTGCAAGAATCCTCTTCCTGTAGGACAAAAGCAGATCATTGCAAATATACTGGGATATTAAATAATACAGTACAGTATGAATAATAAAAGTGTTTTTCACTCAAATGTACACACCTTTGAGCCCTCTTTAATAAAAGCTCATTTCCACATGATAGACCTATAAGTTCGTACTCGGGGATGGAATCAACCAAAGAACAAATGGACTCCATTATGATGAAAAGTTGCTCATCTGAGAAGTGGCGAGAAAAAAAGAAACAAAAAGTCTTGATTTGATGAATAAAACATGTATAAATGACTGAACAAATGAGAATGGCATAGCACCCACTTGTTTTGTCTTTTGAGTGGTGTTCAGAAGGTTCATGTAGTGCTGTGATGAGTCCTTTTGAGTGCACTGCACTGTCACTGAATTCAGTATCAGCTGAATTATATCTGTGAATTAAAATAAAGACAATATATATTAGGCAAAATATGTCTAATTTTCAGGTCAAAAAGCATATGCACTAAAAGAGGGAAGACGCTGCTATAATAACATACACTGGTGCAAACCCTTGGCAGTAAAAATGTTCCTACTACAATCACTGCACCATAAAGCGTAATTTCGTGTTTATACCAACATGTGGATCTTAGCTGATAAGTTTACATAACCAAACTAAAAAAAGAAATAGTGCCACTAATACACCTCCTGTTTAACAGAGTTTGGAGGAAAAGCAGTATCTAGCCCCTGCCTGTACAGAGCAGACACTGTAAAATGTCTTATAACAGTGTGAACTCTAAATTTAGCTGAGAAAACAAGTGGATCTCAACTGAACCAATAACAGTGTAATGTCTGTGTGAACAGTTATTGTACAAACACCTCATCCGAGCTTGAAGCTGGTGGCATGAGACTACATTGGCTGATACATGCGCAACACACCTGAACCACAGATCAAACTGCTGGCAGTCTGGTTGCGCTGTGAGTAATGTAGGTGCCAGATTTTGACAGTACAATTCATTAACTGTGTTATGTTTTGATGACAGAACACTTCACATACACATCAAGAATCGTATACTTCATTACCAAGTATACACAGGAACTCTTACGAACACAGGTAAAAATGCATGATAAATTTAAAAGCTGACCTTGTCCGCAATGGAGTAGTAGTACGAGAGATCTCATCTTCGATCGGTGAAGGGGGAATGCAACCTAGGTCATCGTCAGCCTCTGAATTATCAAACTCCAATACCTTTGGGTCAGTCCATTTTATCTTATCATCTAAAAGGCAAAAAGCATCTAGTATAGCCTGTGTGTTTTAAGAATAACTGAATGAATTTGTGTCCAAATACAATACAAGTGCAGCAAAAAAATGCCATGTTACCTGCCCTTTCTACAAACGGCTCAGGCCTGACATCATCTTCTTCACTATCACTCATGACAGGCTTCACATTTTGAGCAGGAGCACGTCTTCTGGTCATTTTAATAGGGGAATCCTCCAATTCAACCTCTGGTGGGTCCTGAATCACACTAGGTCCTGGTGAAACTACAGCTTTTTTGACACTGTGCTCCAGTTCATCTGTTTCCATACAAAACTGTTCACTTTCAGAGAGACGAATCTTGTTTGTAAAACTTTTGTCTAAAGCAGGGGCATCATGGTTTACTTTCCTTGTGATTTCTGTTTTTTCTTCACTAGGAGATGACACTGGCTTGCTACTCTTCCCTGATTTTTCTGAAGTGAATGAGTCATTTTTAGCTTTGGCAGGAGTTTCAAAGTCATCAAAATCATCCCAGTCGTCCATTGGGAATCCTGGAGATGCATCTAGACTCGTAGAATTGCCTCCATTTCCACTAGTAACCTGGTCATCATATTTAGTTGGAGCTGTAGTCCCCAGAATACCAGGTGAGCAGGTACCTGCTGGGCTAAGGGAGTCCACCTTGCCTTTTGAACTTACAGGGAAGAAGCGGTTGATTTTTGTTGACTTTTGAGGTCTCTCAATCTTATTTGAAAATGTCAACGGAGATTTAGTCACCAAACTGTTCTTAGGGATATTTACATTCCTGTTTGCGAAGACATTTGGGCTGATTACCTTGGCTGGTACTTCCACCTTGGCTGTACCTGATGGGGACTTCTTCTTGAAAGAAAAGCCCCTAAAAAATACACAGGTGTGGAATTAGCAAAGTGTGACATAACCGTTAAGAGCAGGGGTGTAATGCCATTTGATGATAGTCACATTCTATTTTTGTGCTTTTACTTTTTTTCTTTGAAAAGAAAACATCTGGAAAGAACATCTCTTTTTGTATTTGTATTCTGTGGCAGTTAACAAGCACGTCGGTATAAGAATTAACATTTGCAAACCAGCCAAAGACACACTGCTGATTGTTCCTGAGTATCACAATTCATTTTAATGCATCCAGGTATCAGTAGCACAGCTACGCAGGTGAGAAGCCATACGATTTCAGTGGGTTCAACTAATTCCACCCAGGTCTATGGTATAAAATCAATGACTTGCGAGGGGCTTAACTTACCGGGTGTCAATTATGTCTATGGCTACACTAAACCCTGAAAACAATAGTGGAACACAGGACACACACTGCATTACTAGTTTTGGATTCTCTAGTGACACAAACACGGAACATTCACACACAGCAAATCAATATAGTCTCTAGGACAGACCAGCATTAAATGTTCTATAATATATAACGTTATAACTTTGTTGGGCATGCTAAAGCGTGTTTATTAGTTAACGCTAGTTAGGATAGCGGTCCAAAGCTAACGGTTAGCTGGTGTTTTCGAGTTCGAGCTCACTTTAGACCACTTACCCCGTTTTGGGTTTAGCCAGAGACAACTTGCTCTGAGCAGCACTGCTGTGCCTCGCCAGTTGCTCTTCCAGGTTATTCTGTGGAACACTGGACATTATTTGCAACAAGATACGCCAGTGTGCTACCCGACTAACGTTAGCTAGCTAACTTATCAGACTGAACTCAGTTTACAAAGTAGCTAATGGCTCTTTCTGCAGCATTGCTCGCGACTGGTTTATCCCACCGCTGGGTTGTATTCCATTAAAGTTCAATAAACTAAGACAACTTATCTACTAATTTAACCGGTGCGTTGTACTAGCGTATGCCACAAAACACAACGTGATATTGCCTTTGCGCCCATTCAACAGTATCCTTATTGACAGATAAGACGCTACTGGGAAATGTAGTCTTACGACATATGCGGCCTCGCCTTCTTTTTCTTCTTCTTTTGGGTTTAACGGCAGCTGGCATCATACACTGTGCATTCCTGTTTTTTACCCTCTTCGATGTCCATTCCTCTCAGTATTCTGTACTATGCACTCGCTCTCAAAAAGGCAAATATTGCTTTTTGCCCTCTACACTGTCTCCATGTTTAATTGTAGGCTACTAATTCTATTGATATCATTAGTACTACTATGGAATGAGTGTGCATAGTACTACCATGCACACTGATTTCTACTAACCCTATATTCTACAGCTTTGTGATCATCGCTCTCCTGTCTTCTATATCTTCTGCATAGCCTATTAACTAGTGATGGGCAGATGCAGCTTCATGAAGCAATGAGGCTTTTCATCCAATTGGTTCACTCCAGCGCAAAGCTTCTTGAAGCTTCATTTTTATCTACTGGATGCAACAATATCAGTTGGCATGAATTTGAAGTGTGTGGCATTTTGCAGAAAGCCTGTGAATAAAACTGTCAGCAAAATAAAGAAGTATGCAAAACATGTATATTGTAGTGATGGCAGTATACTGTGTATATATATATATACTGGCAGTATGGAAAATGATTATTTGGAAGTGATGAAAATGGAAATGATTATTTACAGTGTCTCCAAACTGTCACTGACCGCAACTCTCCATCAAACACCCACATTTTGAATGGAGCCTGAGGGGTTTATATCACTGTCAAAACTCGCGGCAAAATCCGAACCACTTCCTGAATCAGTCACGTGGTACAGCCGGGTAGCGAGGTTTCGGACGTCATCATTTTCAGCTCCTCACCTAAATGACGCAAGCCTCGATACGCGCATCGCGGAAACGCCCCCTCCCCTACTCGGCACACGCTTCGAAGCCTCGATACGGAACGTCACATCACTACTATTAACTAGTAAGATATATTCTGCTGTTTCACTTTATTCACACTGGTGCACTTCTGGTAAATCCTCATTTTGCTAAAAGTGCATGACATATATACTACAAAACATTTTTAACCCCTGGATTTGAAAGTGTTTATTATTTTACTTAGGTCTGGACCCCAAAGTAAGTCTATGCAGGTTTTGTCTGCAGCACTTACAGTATGCCCCCTACTCATGTTGCAATGATCCAGTTTTGCTCTTATTAGATTGCATTATATTTTATGCTTGCAGGAATATTAATCTTACAGGTCCCTGTGAGATAAAACAAGTGTGCATTCTTTTTCTATAGGTGCTTTTGGTAATGATAGAGGGCAACATGTTATCATGAAGTACGCCTTCCTTAATTATTCTTACTATAGCCATCATATTTGGGCTCCCTACAGGCAGCTGCAACTACTGTACAGTATTTGGTGATGAAAGATTCAAATAAACAGATTTAATAGATTAGATTTTATTTGTGATTTCAGCGGTGAATTTTGATTTGATTTTGATTTTATTCTTTCAAACATGCAGAACAAATGACATCAACTTCTTCTTCTTCTTCTTATCTCCTTGGATTTCCCGTGGAACAAAGGGCCTCAACACACACACATAATTACACAAAGCCAACCACTGCTAATCCAGAATCAGTTTGCTTATACCCAGCACATGTTTGAATGGAGTAGGAAGAAGTCAGACTTATCCAGTCCTACCCCATTGCTGTGATGAAATCACACCACAGGGAAAGATGAGCAGGCAGCGAGTCCACACATGTTCTTCCCACGTTCGATGAGGAAATATCTGTAAGAGGAGACCATTGTTATTATCTTTTTCTGGTTGTATACATGTATTAATTGTACGTGGTAAAAGTGAAGGTTTACCCATCAATCCCCCAGCCGGATCCCCATGAGTTCTTTACTATCCAGTAAGGCGTGCCGTTGTTTTCTCCATACCCGACTGCTAGAACAGCGTGGTTCACCTTGTCTGTGGTGTTGTGGCATTTAGTGCTAAAAGCAGGAAGAGAAGTGAGTTACAGTATCCAACTTTAAACATTATAAAAAATAAGGAATTAAGCCATTGCTAAAACTAAACAGTTCACATTGCTTTAACTATCACCAGCATTAAAAGAATGTGCATACAGTATAATGCCATGAAAAGGACTGTACTTAAGTACTTGTGTCAATCTAGTGACCATACTCTACACCTCATGTTCATTGTTGGATGATTTATAATTGTAAAAAATAATTCAAGAATTCCAAGAATCTTGAATCTTTGAATTATGTCTGTGACGCCCTCTCACCTTGTGTACACGCCCTGCTCATAATGCATGAAGTCACTGGTCACCTCAAAAGCAAAGCTAACCGGATTGCGGGTGGCGACAGCATCCACCATCTCCATCTCATTGTACTGATAGATAACAGAAAAACTTCATCACTCACAGGCATTCACCAAAGGCAGCTAGTCTGAAAAAAGACACTAATGTTCACTCACTGCTGTTATGTTCACCACTTCCTTCACAAAAGCAGCTGCCAGCTCTGGTTTATACTTGCACTCGCTTCCCTGATTTAACAAAAAAGTAAAAACATGCCATTTCAAATGTGTCATTTCAAAATCCGTTTTGTTTATAATTTAGTTTTGCTCATGTTGAAGGATAACTGATCATTTAGTTACAAAAGCTTTATATGGATAGTCGTCCTCTGTCATCAGTCCCTTGTTGTACAGAATGTATTCAAATGCTTGGCTGGGAAGTCCACTAGAAGACAAAATAAGACCTTTTTATAAAAATCTGACAGTACTGTTGTGCATAGTGGCAGCTATAGAGGAAGTAAAGAAATTTGACTTATACCCATTACATCCATGATTGTTGAAGTCCTGGGCACAGTCCACCAGCTGTTGTTCTGACTACGCAATTGTAAAATTAGGAGACAAAGGTGAATGAAAAGAGCACAGTTCAAGATTACAGCAAACACTGTTTGTCTGACCATGACAGAGGTTCTACATTTTTAATATGATAGCAGCAGTTCTTATAGAGAAATAAAAGAAGGTCACCAGTGGTATGAGCTTCCCAGTTGCAATAGCAGTAACAGACTCCAAACAGCCGGTTGTTGAAAAAGTCCAGCAGCTGCCACAACTTCCCTTTGGTGCACAAAAAGGTAAAAAGACAAATAAGGTTGTATTGAAATAAGTATGTATGGAAATAAATGTGCAGACAACAGTCAGGCAAAATCCAGGAACTGATCGCAACACGAGTTTGGCATTTTTTATCAATCTGTAACAATAGGGCTTTTCAGGGAATACATTTTGGCATGTTACACTAGGAAAAGCACAGCTGTAAATAATAAAATGAATGATGGCTGAATTTGTTGCTGCAGTTTCAGGGTTCTTGTACTGTCATGACTTACTGAGAAGACTATTCAACAGACCGGAGCTCTCGTTAATGTTATTAACATTTGTGCCTTGTCTACTGTGAAAAAGACCTATTATGGTAAAACTACACCAACACAACCATTATCAAGAACACCACGTGCATATTACTGCATGTTTCTCTTTAGTTTCTGTTGTGAAAAAGCAAAATGCAAACTAAACTTAGTCTAAACTGCTACTACATGTCAAAGACAAAATGGTCTTCTGCTGTATGGAGAGTGATCCCGTGCTTCTTTAGATTTAGGACTTGACTTATGTGTTTGCTTGATGATCATCACCACTATTTTTTTCCATTTTCTTTTCTATCAACTAAAAAAAAAAGATGTCTATTTTGAAGTTCACTTACTTAAATCTCACCAACCTGAATTTTGATAGTTTTGCAAGCATCAGACAACTATTGTTTCTTTATTGTTCATGGATGGATCAAATTCATAGTCCTTTTTCACTGGAAACATTCTCAGAATTGTCAAAGAAGGTAAAAAATATAGGTGAAATTAACAACATTAACAATGGCGCCAATTCAGCAATTACCATACTTAGTTACACGTGTGTTTGCCATGTGAAAACCTGTTCTGATTCCATGCAACATACTAACTGTATACTCTGTACCTATATATTTAATATACTGTTTATTTATTGAGGTAAAAAAAAAGTCAGCTCAAACTTTAAAATGTCTTCTGCTCTGTTAACAAGCAATACATGCACTGTGACCTTTGAGATCAGTAACTGATAATAAAATGTCTGTGGAGTTAAACATCACCTGATTCTTCACAGGTGTCAAATAGTTCCCTTTCTTCCTCCAGTCAACAGAGTCCGGATATGGTGCATTACTGCTGAAGTAGTTTCCTTTGGTGGCGGAGCAGTTCTGTGAAAGGCAGTATGTACGGTGGGTACGGAAAGGATTCAGACCCCCTTAAATTTTTCACTCTTTGTTATATTGCAGCCATATGGTTCAGCCCCACTGCAGGAAGAGATAAACACCAGGTCAATGTGTTTTACTGTAAACCCTATCAGATTAAATAGTGAAGGCTATTCCTACTTGTGTAGGAGTGATTTCCTTCATTGTGCTTGTCAATCCTCCTCTTGTTGTCAGTGAATATCTGGAGTCTCTCATAGTACTCCTTCATACTGTACACTCTGTTGTACTGTACATGAGGGGGATTTAAAAAAATGAATTATGTTTATATTATGGTAGCAGGAGCTCAGCAACACATGGGTAACAGTCTACTGTAACTTTCTCAGCTCCACATATGGCAACTATTGTATAATCTGTTAAAGTACACACAGTGTTTGGTTATACTGTACCTGTGCCATCCATGACTTGAAGGGAAACTCGTCTGAAAATTGT